TTCACCTAAAGCTATATTTAGAGACAAACTGTAAATATAAGGCCTGTTTCTTTAACACACTGAGGGCCAATCGTTCCAGGTTTAACACTTCTGGACTTTTAGCACCAAAATGGCAATATTACTCCATCTCGCGCTTCCTTTACCTGTGAAAACCTCCAGTGAGACATTACTCATGCTTGCTTTGTCATCTTTTCTGCACTGTCTACAATACTCACACAGAGCAGTTACTCTTGAAATACAGATTACCAATATGTTCTTTACATAAGAAGCAACATTTCAATTTTTCATTCTAGCAAATGAAGCTGAGAGCCACCGCGTCCTGTCCCACTGGGTTTATCAGATAATCTTAATTACTGCACCTTTAAATATTGGCACAAAACATCTAATGCACCACAAACTGCAGCTCTGGTTTTGATTGAGCAGTATCAGATTTTTAAAAATCCCCATCAGCTCTACTCTCTCACTAAGTGTGGAGTCGTGTTGCGCTGACCATCTGCTCTCTAACCCTGCCCAGGCTACACAGATAACGGCGCTGCCACCCGTGGATTATGGCATCAACACACACATCTTGGCTTGAGTGTCATTGCCAAGTAATAGCAGTGTATTTGTGTGCGAGTGGTTTTGCAGCAGTATTTCCAGCCAGTACAGTCGCCTAATGCAAGACGCTGGTAAAGAGTCTCTCAAATGTCTCTTCAGCATTAGTCTATATAAAACGGCCAGATTATTATCAGTCAGTATTTCCTTCACATTTTCCTTCACAATGGCCACTTCTTTCCTGCATTACTGAACACACACTTAGCCACAATGTGATACATGGGCATATTTGGGGACGCCGTAAATTTAGAAAACTGCTAAACCTTATTTTGGACAGCAGCTTGTGTGGATTCTCATCTACGGCTCATTGGTAAGAAGCACAATGTGGAAAAGAGCAACAGGGGATGATGGAGACACGAAGAAAAACACAACCAGATGACTCTAAAGAGGACTAAAGCCGAGCGATAATTGTTAGACCAGATTATTATTACTTAATCCATTATCAGTCAGCTCTATATTCCAGTTTTGATTAATCTGTGTATTTTGAACAACTACGCACGACAACATCAAACAATATCATAAAGCATTAACAAAGCAGAGGCTAAACAGAAATGTTGAACAGCCGGCAGGAAGATATTGGTAAAAGGTTTTTAATGCTAAACGTGGTTCTTCAACATGTGTATACTACTCTGATGAAATGTGTACAGTTATGCTGCGGTGCAGACACACACACCCACACAATAGTATTTCACTATTGCTGTCTCCTTCAATCCCTTCATCCAGACATACACGAAGAGCCCAGAGGTGTATCTCTGGCTCATGTCAGTCAGACGGGCACTGCCGATGAAACCCACAGATTCACACACCCTAGGCAGGGTAATACATTTGTTATATTTGTTCTCCTGATGATGCAAAGTGACACGCTACCCCTCTCTGTTTCAGTGCTCCGACAACAACCCGAAACTTCAGCCCTGACTCACAGTGGACCGGCCACAAAATCAGGTTTATTCCTTCATGAAATCAACCCTGGCTCACAGTACATGCCTTTGCCCTGAATTTATATAGAACTTGTTGCCATAGCAGCAAAACCCCCAGTCTTCTTTTTGACTGAGGCACTACAATAAAGGCAGAACCACCACAAAATGTAAAACAAAACATCATGACAGTGAAATCCCCGCAGAGCCTGAGCTTTGTGGAATTAAACATTACTGCGAGAAGTCTTTAAATAACAGCGGCAGAAAACAAGTCTTGCATCACAAACCGTAAGAGTCAACACCACAGGAGAACGGCAATCAATGCCTGACTTATTGACTATGCATGAAATCTCTGCAAAAACATATGGAGCCAATGTTTGTGTCAAAGCCAGGTGCAGTGAAGTGACAGCGCTGCTGCACACTGCGCTGTTGTACTGATGTATAGGAGCAGAATGATGAAAACCAGTAAACGTAAAGAGGCCGAAAAGGCAACGTGGAGCTTACCCAAAGTAAACACACACCAAAAAGTGAACTGACTTTGATAAATCACATTACAGATGAGTAAAAACACATGAAGGCACTCTGGCTTAAAGTAGGCCAGTCAAAATACGAGATAAAAAATTCAGATGCCTCAGTCACTCTCAAGGCATCCCCCAGCGCAGCAAGCTGGAAATCATTCGGCCTGGGATGTGTCAGAGGTTTCAGGGTTGCTAGTTATTGGTGAACGCAGCTCTGACTCCACAGAGGTCAGAGGTCAGCGTGAGCTGATGGCCCCAAAGCTGTCAGCGTATTCCCCTGCTTCGTTGGGGCTACAGCGAGTTGGAGGAGGCACGAGGCTCAGGTGTGTCGTCCCACTCAACATATAAAAATACTCATATTCTGATGCCAGCATCAGATTAAATACACTGTTAAAAAGCCAAACACTTGAGGACTTTTCATAAACAACCGAGCCAGATTTCTCCATGTTGAGTGACTCTTTAATGTTACATTTGATGTAAAGCACAGCCAAATGTAGCAAACATAATAAAACAGATGGTGACTGACCAGAATATACAAACTGTGGCGGCACAAAGGCATTCAGAAATGTGCGAAATGTCATCTCTTGCCACCTTGTTGCTGACCAGTGACCCGTGATGTACTCTGCATAAAAATGCCCCAAAAACCAGCCCTGAACTGAGGACTCGCATGGAAACGGCTCTATGCGGCTGCATAACACTTCACAATGGGCTTTCACATCCACGATTGTGCTGTGAAATCATAGAGCCCCTCACAATCCACGACTCTGACTCTGACTCACACAAGGCTGAAATAATTCTGAGGAGGACATGAATTCCTCCTGTCAGCTCGACCAAAGAAAATAAAACTGTCCAAACCAAATAATCATTTTAGCATCTAACCCAGTTTGAGCCCTGACATCTACACATGAAAGCCACTTGCTTATAAAAAGTGTTGATTTAATTGGTTTTATTTTAAAGACAATGCAGTATTGAGCTTGGTTTCACTTAATATTTCATAAGGTATCTCAGTGATCACGGTAAAGGTCAAAACTAAATTTAGTAAGCAAGCTTTTCTTTTTCTGCTGCTCCTCATACATGGAGCTCTTTGCAAAAGGAGCTAAAACTGCATTCATTAGTTTCCTGGGTAGATTAAAGCTTTGCTGCGTGGACTCGGAGCTTCAACAAGTACTTGCCATTGTCAGGATGTTTGGTAATTCTAGCTGTTTTAAACTAGTGTACCTGACTCAGTGTTTTCACAGGTTCTGATTTATTCTTATTATCAATTGCTTGCTTGACTAGCAAGAGTGTGTTATGGATTTATTTGTACCTGTGTTGTTTGGCATGATTGGAAAGGAGATGTTTAATGTCAGTGAGGTTTTCCGGGTTAAATAAAATACATTAAAAAATCCCAATAGTAGGTGAAAGATCAGATGTTCCTAGATTGAGCTAAATAATGAGAGAGGATTAAGGTGTGTGTAATATAGAACAAAAAATATAATAATAATAATAATAATAAATCATAGAATATAACGTGTGTCATTTGCATGTTATTACACAGAGGATTAGCTAACAAGGTGAAAAGACTTTACAGGAGCCGCACTAAGGCTTGGCACACACCAAGCCCAAGGCTGATGAATTATGATTTTGTTTTTCAGCCCCAACTTACTCAGCACAGACAGAAATACTGAGTGGCAGAGTCAGCAGCGAATCCTTGGAATATATCAGTGAACTAGGGCGTCAGACCCTTCAGTAGCAAAGAGGAGGCATGTTCAAAAAGCCACCCGTGTGCATATGAGGCACCGCTAGACCTCCAGCTTGATGATAATGACATGCTGCAGCCACAAACATGCTTTGACCCTGAGTCAAGGTTGTGGAGAGGTTGCTACTCCATGTTAGAAGCTGGAGCCCTGTTATTTTAGCAAGTGAGACATGAAAGCACTGATCCACAAGGCAAAGGCATCTGAAATGTCCTTGAAAGCCCACAGGTAACAACATCCTAGTCAGCAAAGCAAATAAAATGTTGAACTGAACTTATTTCTGTTAATGAGCTCCTACATCTAACATATATATGAGCTACAAATATTAAAAATTCATGCCGTAGAAATGAATATTTTAGTGAAATGGGTATCATAAAGCAAAAAAAAAAAAAATTCTAATCCAACACAGATTTGGCATAAAACCAGGGGAACTGCAAGGCACGCAATAAAATATTTCATATAAATGAGTAAAGGGAATATTGAAATGGAATAACGTCTTTTTTAATCAGTGTCACAGGATCAAAGTTTGGGGAAGTGTTTTATGTAGCTGCATAATTATTTATAAGCCCCCCAGAATAACATTAACGTGGGAAAGTATGACAAAATAGGGCACATGCAGGCCTGTGCGCCATAAAGGAATGAATCAATGAAAGAGCTGATGAATGTAGTGGCCAATAACCTATTGGTGCATGCACAGTGAGAACGGACAAGCGTTACCTTATACCCTAATGAGAAGGGACATTCCATCCAAACCTCGTTAAAGAACTGAACAATTTTAGACTTGTTTGCATCTTAACTCCAATATAAACCTGCGTCACGTGTCGTAAAGCGTTCAGGGTGATATCGAGCACCTGGTGGTGAATTCGGCGTGGAAGTCAAACGCCAAACAGGATGTGTGTGAATTAACATCCTAATGTAATGAGCTCACTTGTCGGTCCCAGCTTCCCACCACTGTAGTGAGCAGTGTAAACCAAAACAAAGACTTTCATGAAATTAACTGCTGTTTGAGTGATGGATGTGGATGCAGAAGGTGTTAGCAGACCCTAGATTTTTAGGAAAAGTTTCTAAATCTTATTGTACCTGTTAGAAACGTTCACTAATACAAGATGAATTACTAAACAGGCCGAACTTCTAAGGGAGTCTGGTGGCCAGCTGTCACATAAGAACGGGATGCGGGGTTTAACCCTGGGGTTGAAATCCTGCTCGGGGGGGAGTGAGGAACAGGCTCCACTCCTTACCTTTGTTAGCTGTGCTATTTTCTTGCTCATCTTCAGGTGCAGGTCTTGGGTATATTCCATGGCGATGCCGGACGGAAAGGACATGTTGGTTGCTGAGGATGAACTAAATTTCCCCTGCCCGGCAGGGCAGTAATACTGCTGCCAACCCGACCCAGTCGCCATCTTCACGAAGATGCTTCAAATGTTCAGGAGATATTGGCTGTAATTATGAACTGGACGGAGCTAATGGGGCTGTCAGGGAGCGGCGGGGCGGACTGGGACAGTGTCTGACTGTTCCCGAGACACAAGGAAAATTAATTAAAAATACGAACCATTTTTAGCCCACATACTGTTAGAAATTGGCTCCATTTTGCTCGGCTCCGTTAACAGTACACCCGAGGAGGGAATCTGTTATTTTAAGCCCCATAAACGTTCGCCGCTACCATCTTGTCCGTTCAAAATGTGGCCGTTTTCAGTGCTCCGAGGTGCGGGTCCCGGCTGCTGTCACCTGGCGCTGATGTGGAGCTGTTTTCGGGCAGCTGACTGGCGCCCGGTCGGTCACCTTGACAGAGAAATTTCTCAGCCGGAGCTGTAAACTATATTCCTGCTCGGTTTATTCTGGCTACACTGACGGAGAGTGAGTAGATATTGAAGGTGAGTGTGTGGGACTGACTCCGCGGCTGCTCGCTGCTCCTGTGTTGCCATGGATCAACTCAACACGTTATGCTGCATTCACGTAGGATGGGAGCAGCGCTGCGTTCAAGGGCTGTCGGACAAATCGAACACATGACGGGGAAAGCTAGGTGTGACGTTCAAGGGGTGGGTGGTGGCCAAAATTGTATTCTCACTAGTCAGAATGGTAACTAAAGATATCCAAAATAGCTATTTTATTAGTAGAAATTGTATTTCAAAATATCTACAACTTTCATTTTATGTGTAAACCTAGGCCTAAATTAAACATATCAAACTCCTTAAAAGTGAGTGGCCATTTAACATTTATTCACTACACTGTAGGCCTATATATACTACAGATAACTGTAATTTAGTTTTTCTTACTAAAAAAAAAACATTTCAGATATTCACAAGATTATTCTTCCTGGGACAAATCACATTAGTGTTGCCATTCATGTGTATTGGACTTTCAATTTTAAGGAAAATTCAGATATCCCAACTTTTCACATCCAAAATGAGTCATCATAATACGAGGTGTGGATATCATGTTAACATTTAATCACAATGTATTTTAGAAATGTAAGATTACATTATGCAGATCTGGAATGGTTTTTCATATAAGAGATCTGAAATTAAAATGATGGAAATGACAGTTGTGGATAATAAGAACGCCATTGTGGATATCAAAATGTTCTTTTTTTTACTAAAACTGAACTACAGATATCTGCAGTACATATACAGTCTAATGATTAAATGTACAGTACACCTATGTTGTTTGAAGAGCATACACAACACATCTCATGTTTCTTCAACGTAAATGACTTAGACAACTGAATTCCTGAGCTCTAGGACAAAAACAAATACACAGACCAATTAGTAGTTTCAAGTCCGTTAGCAGTTAGCTCAGTTAGCTGGACCTAACCGCTTTTTCCTCCGCTTATCTGGAACTATGTCGTGGGGGCAGCAGTCTAAGCAAAGATGCCCAGACTTCCCTCTCTCCAGACACTTCTTCCAGCTCCTCCGGGGGAATGCCGAGGCGTTCCCAGGCCAGCCGAGAGACATAGTCCCTCCAGTGTGTCCTAGGTCTTCCCCGGGGCCTCCTCCCGGTGGGACGTGCCCGGAACACCTCCCTAGGAAGGCGCCCAGGAGGCATCTGAAAAAGATGCCCAAGCCACCTCAGCTGGCTCCTCCCAATGTGGAGGAGCAGTGGTTCTACTCTGAGCTCTTCCCGAGTGACCGAGCCCCTCACCCTACCTCTAAGTGTGCACCCAGCCACCTTGCGGAGAAAGCTAATTTCCGCCGCTTGTATCCGGGATCTTGCCCTTTCGGTCATGACCATAGGTGAGAATGGGAACGTAGATCGACCAGTAAATCGAGAGCTTCGCCTTACAGCTCAGCTCCTTCTTCACCATGACAGACTGGTACATCGACCGCATTACTGCGGAGGCTGCACCGATCCGCCTGTCAATCTCCTGTTCCATCCTTCCCTCACTCATGAACAAGACCCCAAGATACTTGAACTCCTCCACTTGAGGCAGGAGCTCTCCACCAACCTGAAGGGAACAAGCCACCCTTTTCCGACTGAGAACCATGGCCTCAGACTTGGAGGTGCTGATTCTCATCCCAGCTGCTTCACACTCAGCTGCAAACCGTCCCAGTGCACGCTGAAGGTCCTGGTTTGATGGAGCCAACAGGACGTCATCTGCAAAAAACAGAGACGAGATCCTGTGGTCCCCACACCGGACTCCCTCCAGCCTCTGGCTGCACCTAGAACTCCTGTCCATAAAGATAATGAACAGAACCGGTGACAAAGGGCAGCCCTGCCGGAGTCCAACATGCACTGAAAACAAGTCTGACTTACTGCTGGCAATGCGAACCAAGCTCCTGCTCCAGTCGTACAGGGACCGGACATCCCTTAGCAAAGGGACCTGGACCCCATACTCCCGGAGCACCCCCCACAGGGCGCCGCGAGGGACATGGTCGAAAGCGTTCTCAGTCAGTTCTCAATGACATCATGTGTCCTTTGGCTGAGAAAACATCTTTGAAAATGATGAAATATTATGAAGAGAGTACATACAGTAAAAGAGAGATAAGTGTTCTATTATCCCCTCCTTCCTGGGGGTGTCAGGGTGGAGACAAAGCAATTCACACAGGCAATTTACAATGCTGTCATATTGTGTGCATGACTGGGTAGTTTGTTTTTAAAAAGAAAAAGGCAGAAACAGGATAAATGATTTTTACTCCTAACTGCCCCGTGATGTTTGGCTGTTCTCACTCCGAGTTGACAGCGTCTTTTTCCAACATCACAGTTAAAATACTGGAAATTAAAGCTATTTTCTGTGCTCAAGACTTGCAGCCTGTGATGGGTAAATGTATTGCTGTTTATCACCATTATAAAAATCAATACTGATTATGGCCTTGACAATTGTGTTTTGCCTGTGAATGCTTGAAGAAAATGAAAGAAAACTCACTTTAAATTCATACATTTACTTTAGTTATTACTGTACCTGACAACTTTTTGCCTACACCTCAGCCCAGGTGTCATTATTCAGATTACCATCGTGACTTCTACAGTAACATGACATATCTGTATCGCATTATCTAGATAAACTGCACCATGTACTTATTATACAATGCCAAATAGCCCATAAACATACATAATGGATGCATAATGATTGTTGTACCATGTGGTGCATTGGCTTGAAGTTGGTGCTTTTTTTCATGTGGGTCAGTTTATGACATACATGCGTCAACTTAGACAAGTTCTCACATTTAATCTGTGTCACAATTCTGTAGATTTTGTTGGTTTTGTATAAAGCATCTCCCTGAATGTCATTCACATGGAGCAAAGTTACAATTTCAAGTACTTCTTCCCAAACAAGTGAGGTTTAGCCCTGGCACCCAGCAGTGTTTTCAGCATTAAAGTATTAAAAAATAAACCCTCAACATGGGGGAAAGTTGGATTTTAGTAATGTCACTTCATCTATCTAACAGAAGTGAAATAAAACATTTAAACTGACTGGAATGGCAGCAGCAGGCAATACCTCACATACACTGCAAAAAGTAAAATCTAAGTAAAACATCTTAAATCATGGTAAAACTTGCAGAAGCTTGTTTTCTGTCTGACAAACCATTTCTTCTTACGGGGCAGATTTTATGTCAGAAAATTTCACTTGTTTCAAGTTTCATTAGTTCTTAATTATCTTAAGATGTAACTTGTTACATAAATTTTAACACTGGTTCTGATTACTTAATGAGCAGAATTGTACAATGGCAAGTACAAAACTGCTTTCTATCAGGTAAATGTAATTGTTTTTATTCTACCTGCACTAGTTTTAAGAGGGAGTTAAAAAGAGGGACCACC